TACATCCTGAATCCTTAGAGGAATACCTTCTGATTGGGAAATGGAAGGAAAATATGCCTGCACATTGACTTTCAGTTCATACAAAAACAAAGGCATGGAAAGAAAAAGGCACAAAAGAGGGGGAGGTTTTCTTCTTTCTTTTTTTTTTTCTTCTGGCCAAAGGTGACTTTCCTTTCTCTTTCCTTTTGTTTTTTCTGAAAAAAAAAAGGTTTTTGTTTTAAGTAAAAAATGGCATGAATTGAACTTACTTCAGCACATGTTTTTGGAAGCACCAAACGACCTATTCGACCGGCGTCACTAGCACTCAGAACCTTCTCAAACAGTGGCACAATGGTGGATTTCAAGCTTTAAAATAAACAGTTAAGGTATTCAAGAAATTTGAGTGAAAGGATAAAAATTTCACTATCATAATAGAAAAGATACCAACGTAACAAGCATGGATACTCTCCAGAAAGTTGCTGCAGTTCTTGGTCAGTAATTCTAGGCCAGTATCGAGGAAGTAAATGATTTTTCCCTCGCCCCTCAACAGGTGGCCTTGCAATCCGCATCTGTGAAACTGCACTTTTATTTGTTTCTGTGCTTGTTCCTGGGCCATTTTTTGAGGGTTTTGGCAATATAGGACGAGATCGTTGCCCCAGCCGAAATGGGGCATCAGCTACAACACTAGAAAAAGGCAGCATGATGTTTGAATTCCCAGAAGGAGCTGCCAAAGTCATGCTCAAAGAAGGTTGAGAAAGTGAATTGTGAATATCTTTAACCTCTAACACAGATGTTTGGGCAAACTTAGGGGGTCCCATACATGGCTGCAATGGATTTGAAAAGCTGGCACCCTCATCCCTAATTGGATGGTCAACCTCCTCTCTTCTGTCTTGCCTAAAAGATGCATTTGCATCACCTCTTTGAGACTGCAGAGGGAGGTGTTCATTAGCCTCCATTTTCACTAGCCTTCTCCCGTCAACATAATCGCCAACCACTCTACTTTCAATGGAACAGGATCCAGCATTGTTTATTGTCAAGGCACCAAGTCCATTAGGAAGTCCATCACCATGAATCTGCATCAGAAGAAGAGCAAATGATATGGGGAAGGTATAGCAAACCCACTGACCAAGATTCTTATTGTGCCATTGGAAATCTTTAAATTATGACATTCTATACCCAATTTATACATAACATGACAGGGGCGATTAACAGGAAGTGACCAAAATGAATTGGACTGGTAGAAGGGTACAGCTACCATATGGAAGCAGCTTTTTCCTGTGGCTAACCACTAATAAGTATGTACACAAGTTTTAAGTTATAAAACATAACTAACAATTCCACACAGAATGTGCAAGTTCTAATGTTTCAACAGACAGTAGCCCAGTCAATGTCAGTGGTCTTCGCATGGAAAAAATGGGAAAGCAAAATCCATGTAAACATCAAACCATGATTTAATATTAGATATTAGGAAAGCAGGTTAACATTTTGAGTAGATTAGTAAACAATTACCGAAGTTCTTCTTACTAAAGGAAGTTGAGAGCTCTTAGCACATGTAGTACATGCAACACCTCCATAATCCAAGAGTTCAAGTACAAACTTGGAGGCTATGCAACCACAGTGGAGACGCTGCCATACCCATTAAAGAACCTTAGAACTGTATATTAGTAGAGAGTGATTGAAACTAATAAATTCAACTCTGCTGGCTTACCTTGCAGCATATATAGCAGTCCCTCCAGCCAGTTTCCTCTAGGTGGAAGGTATTACAAAAAACCAAATTCTTGTAGGCAGATCTAAAGCACAGATGGAACCAGCAAAATCAGTATCAAGGAGAACGTTTGAAATCAATACAATAGAAAAAAATTGCTCACATGAAAAAATAGCAGTATCAACTTAAATTTGAAAGTTAAAACACAACAACAAAATTTCTTAACTAAAGCTAGAACTATGCAACATGCCTTATTGCTTGAACAGGAACAACACAAATTGCAAAGTAGATGACCATGGATTAAAATAAGGGAAAGCATGAAGAGAAAAAGATGTGAGAAGGGGAACATGGGGGGAAAAAAGGAATAGTTAAAATGAATTCCCAATATTACTCAAGCAAACAAGAAAATTGCATTTTTATGTTGAAATCTCCATCCTTAAGTCATTATGAAAACTTTTTCCATTGTTTGAACATCAATATCCAGCATCAATTTACTGGCTCATAAAAAACAAGAATAAGTAAAAATCCAATAGTGAACACCATGAATTTAAAATGAGGATCCAATATCGTATCAAAGAGATAAAATGTAGATTTGAAACATCTAGGAAGTGGCATAGGACCAAATAAAATCTCGCCAAACATCTCTTCCCATAAGGATGAGATGTCACCTTTGGCACAAATTCTGGTTAATTACAAAGTGAGCCCCTCCTTTCTTCCTTTAGAAAGTATAATCAACATTTTTGTTGGATAACTAGTTGAGTATATGGTACAAGCCTGGAGGGAACAACAGCAGAAACCAAAAAACCCAATTTGCGGAGAAACTGAGGCCAAAAAGCAGCAACAACTCTCATAAAGCTACGCTGGGCATCAAATTCAAAAACCCAGATAAAGAACCAAAAACCAAAATTCAAAATGCCCTTAGGCAGCATCAAATCAGCCCATGTGAAAAGTAAATAAATCAATATCCAAGCAGAAAAAGGACTAATAATGTAACAAATTACCCGCAACTGTAGCAGAGATCAGCATATCCACCAGATCGAAGAGGCCAGCCCTTCTTCCATTCATGGGTTGTAGCAGTTCCACACGATGAATTCATGCAAATCTTGGACCCCATTGAGCTGAAATCAAAGTCTCTACTGAACCAAGCCAGCGCAATCAAACCCAAATCCCTAATACCCCTTTTAGATACACCACAAATTGGTCAGAGAAATAACGAGCAGAGAGAACTTCCCCATGCACAACATTAAAGATTGAATACGCAGAAAGCAAACAAGAAAACAAGAAATACGAAAAAGTAACCAACCTTAATTCAATCACTGAACCCAAATTAATCTCATTGACCAACACTAAAAAGGACCCAATTTGAAGGAGCAGTCAAACAGTAGTGAGGGTGCTGGGGAGAAGAAAGAAGAATAATACAAAGGGTGATGATGGGGTTGTGTGGTTACAGAAAATACCAAACAAGGTGTGTTACATATGAAATGCATGCAAAAGCAACAGATGCAAAGAATGCATGCACGACACTTGAAGAAGAAGACGCACCGCTTAACCTTAACGACTCCGTCCTAGTCCTAGTCCTCCTCTCCGCCTTTTCGGACACTGATACGCTCACCCGCCGGTTTCATGGTTTTCCGTGAACATTTAATGAAAGTCTCACCCCATTCTGTCACCCAGAGTGCACTTAGTTTCCACAAACATCGACATGGCCATCCAGCTGTAATTTACAAATAGAGTAAATGCCACATGTGGTCCCTAATCTTTACCAAAAGTATTAGATATTATCCCAACCTTTCGTTTAAGTCATAAATGGTTCCCACTCTTTTCATAATCACCGAGTGTAGTTTTATCATTAGTCAATTCTGTCAAGTTCTTGACAGAAATTCTGGCTGAAATTGGAACCCACCAAGATTCTTAAACAGAGGAAGAAAAAAAGTCAAACCATTCTTTTTTCCTTTTTTATGGCCAAATAGATATTTCCCTATTTTAACATTGCTAAAACCATTTTTTAAAAGAAGTAACTGTTTTTTTATTCTGCATTATGCATTATTTTTTAATTTTTTTATTATCAATTCTTAACTCAACTTTATGATAAGTTAGATACTTAGGAACTCCATCATGTGACCCACTGATTGGGACGCGTTCTTTAATGAGGGGATGGTGACATTAACTCTCGTCTGAAAATCGAATCTTCAGTTTATAACAATCAACTAATTTAATTTATTAATCATTATTTTTATAATAAAAAAAAAAAAGTTAGATACTTAGAATTGGCTAAATGCAATCATTGATATCAATGTTAATAGCTGTCAAAATATGTCCTTAGTATCTAGTCTTGATATGTCATCTATCAAAGCTGATAAATATTCTGCATCCCTACAATCTTAGCAAGCTCACAAGCAACCTTTGAAAAAAGATTGTTATCCAATTACAAGTACAATTTTGACCCTCTATTTATGGCTTCAATCTTAACAAATTGTTTGAGCATTAAAATATTGGAACACATGATTAAGTAATGTTAAACAAAAAAAAAAAAATTCTATATTCACCTTATAAAAGATTAAGGTCATGGTAAGTCCCCTACAATTTTACTTAGGATTTCCATTATGAATTTAATAAATATAACAAATGGTTGAATTAAGCTTGATAATTTTAGAAAAATTTGGATTATTTTCAGTTTAAATAAAAGATTGAGATAATATTTAATATTTATAATAAAATTTGATGCCAATTATAGTATTTACCCTTACAAATATAATTATTTCCCTTTTCCAGCTTAAGGGTTTCTTCTAAGAGGAGAAATAATCAGTTCCAAATGGTCAGTACTGACGATGCTTCTTTTAAACGGCAATTAACGGATTAATATTAAACAGTCTGTCCATCGCACTTTCATTTCTTTCATGATTAAATTGTTAATTAGAATAATGATATGGATGTAAAAAATTTGAAGCGAAAATTTAAAATTAATAATGTGATTTATGTTATATTATTAAATTAGTTGATAGATATTATTATAAATTTTTAAAAAATAAGAAAATAATTATTAAATAATCTAAAATTTAATTTTTAATATTTTAAATGACATGATGCATATTACATCATTAATCTCATATTTTAATTTCAAATTTTGATCTTATATATCATTATTCAATTGTTAAATGACCTTTATATTTATAAAATGTTTGTTGAACATGTACCTTAAGAGCACATAATAAATCTTATTAATTATGGTATCCATAATTAATTTTATACAAATTTTTATAATATATTCAATTTTTTTTTTATAAATTTTGAGTATATATATTATATTTTATTTTAATTGAATCTATTGTGAAATTTTGCATAGAATTAATTATAAATACTATAATTAATGAACCATTTAAAAAATTCCATCTATAAAATAAATTCATTTTGATCCATCATTCTTTAGTATAGGTTTTCTAACTTGTACCATTAAGAATGTAATGAACATATTTTTTATCATAAATTTATATTAAAAAATAAAAATTGACTTTTAATTTGTCAATACTTGAATTAAATTTATTCATTTAATATCAATACTAAAAATAATGTTAACTTTTATATTTTTTTATATGCATTTATAACAAAAAAATATATTTAGAACACAAATTAAAAGAACTCCTTTAGTATTAATTTAAACCCCAATAATTTGTAGTTTAAACTTTAAAAAATATAAACCTAAACCCTAATACTACAATCGTTGAACCTAAAAATCTAAACCCGTTTAAAAAAATCTATATTTTAACACTCTAAATATTAAATCATCTAAATTAACACTCTAAATATTAAATCCTAAAAGATCTAAATCTTAACCCTCTAAATATTAAAGTCTAAAAAATTTAAATCCTAAAATTTTAAACACTTAATCCCAAAAAAAAAATCTAAACCTAAAACTTCAAATACTAAATCCTAAAATATCTAAACCTTAAAATATCCTAAGCTATAAAATTTAATGAATTAAAATAAATTAAAATATTAAACATATGGAAAGTCAACATGTCTCAATAATTAAAATATCAAAAATAATAATAAAAAATTTAAACACTTTTAATAAATCATCAGATAATGTAAATTTATTAATAATATTTAAATAATTTTATAAACTTACCTTATACTTAAAATGTTAAAATGTCTAAATTTTTACTTTTTTTTTTTCTAAATACCTTATCCATTTAAATAATTTTATAAGCCAATTTTATATTTAAAATGTTAAAATGTTTGAATTTTTACTTTTCTCTAAAGGACCTTAATTGGTGCACACTCAAATCCAACACCGGGTGTGCACCCCCACATAAAAAAAAAATTTGGACTAAGTGATGATAGGCTTCTTTTTTTTTTTTTTTTTCAATGAAGAGTGCTGACTCGGTGTGCACACATCATTTTCCTTATCTAAATACCTTACCCGTTTATAAAAAATACTCATTCAAATAATGACGGATGGACACAAACTGCAGTCTCTTTCTTCGCCGTATGCACCGTTTTTTTATTCTTTGGGCATGATTATGCAGTTACGCACCGGTTATATTAATGCTCAATTATTTAATTATTTATTTTAAAATTTTACTTGTATTAAATGTAATATTTAAATTTATAAAACAACTCTTTAAATTTTAAAATGTATGATTGAAAATAAATATAAAATTTTTTAAACTTAAACTAGAATAAATTGATTCCTAAACTATTATTATTTTAGATTCTCATTTTTTTGTTCACGTCACCTACAAAAACTATGACCCCAACTCAAAATATGAGTTAAAAATTTATTATGACCCCAAAATTAAATTATTTTAATAAGTTTTTGTTATAAATAATTAAAATAAATATTTTTAAAGTAAAAATAAAATTATTTTAAAATTTTATAATATTTTATTAAAATAATATAATTTTAAAAAAATTTCCTAATTTTTTAAAAGATCTCGGTAATAAAAACTAATCTCTACACCCAGAGATGCACTCCAATTGTTTAAAAATGTTTAAAATAAAAAGTCAAAAATACCCCCATAATTTAAGGGTATTTTCCTTTTCATTCTCAAATATTTAATTATTTAAGTGTTAATTGCATATTTATTTTTTTATGTGACAAAGCAATTAGTTGAAACTTTCGCAAGGGAAAGGAGTGAGGAGGAGAAATGGGAATTTAAACCTTAATTAAATGGTGTCTTTTTGTCAATAATTTAATCAATTACTTTATAGATATTTTTCAATTACATATTTTTTAAATCATAGAAGTTTAAGTGCATCTTTTTATAAAACTTATGATATGTTTTATATATTTAGAGAAAATGAATGAAGGAAAAAAAAATTTATCCTAATTAAATTAAAATTTTATCCAACATCTTAATTTAATTAACAAAATATTTTTTTTTTATTTTAACTCTAATCAAACACATTCTGAATTTCATAAATAAAAACAAGAGACAAATTATTAGAGATGACAATGGGGTCTCATTAGGCTGAAGAGTGACTTCTCATCCCCATACCGTCATACCTTTAAAGTTTAAACCCTTTTGAATTGTATGGATGGAGATCTTTACAGAAATTTTTTACGATGGTAGAATTTACTCCCTATTTTCATTACTAGTGAAAGCTCATTCCTTGTAAGGATTCCCCACCCCTCAATATATGTTATAAAATTAATTTATTTATTTGTATTTTATTATTTTAAAATAAAATATTTTAATAAAGAATTGAGTTAAAGGTAAAAATATATTGGGTTGAGTTTGATTTAAAGTATTAAGCTTAAACTAAAAAAGAGTAATAAGTATAACATCTTATTATGAATTAAGTATTTAAAGTAAGATGAATTCTATAATTTTTTTAATATTTCAGATAGAACAAAAATCTTATGGAGTGAGAAAAATTTCTTATAAAATTTCGCAGGAAAAAAAGTCTCTTTATCCCACTCCGCCTCCTTAATTGGCAGGATTCTGCCGGAGGGTTGGGAAGTGCCACCGCTAGAGAGAGGCAAATTCCATTTCCTAATCCCTTAAGCCCTTAATAATAACGCAACTTTTGGATTCACATTTTGTTTGCGTTGCAAAATGATGAAACC